CTCATGTAATAGAATGTTTTGTTTGAGACCACATAGAATAATATTGTAATTGTTACTTTTGGGGACAAAAAGAAATGTAGAGAATTTGTGTATGTGTAAAGAACAGAATTTGGCCATGGTGAAAGAATCATTTAGGGCTTGCTGTAGGGCTGAGTTCTTCAAATACCAAAGTTGGTTACTGATTATGTAGGTGACTAAATTACCACTTCATATTGACAGAGTGGGATTCTGATGATGAGAACGGCTGTACGAGGATGCAGAAAAAAAACTCAAGGCTGTCTAAAACCGGTGCAGGCTGCTCACAGCCATACCTGTGAAAGCATACAGCTTTCTGCTTGCCCCACTTCTCAAGGCTACTTAGTTGGAAGGGAAAGATCAGTTTGGCCTGGAGCGGGGAAAAGTAAAACGAGCAGGAAAGACTCTGGGGCCCATCTAGAACTGTAGAAACTTGCTAATTGATACCATCAGAAATTTGACCAATATTTGTAGGAATGGATTTTTGTGGTGTTTGATCAAGCGAAGGGAAATAGAATTTTGGATCAGACTGATCCCCTGGACATGAATGCATTTAGCAGACAGTCTGCCTTCTCTGTGCTAACTCCAGGAACTGGCTGGGCTCTCACAGTGGGATAAACTGGCTAATGCCAATTGAAACCAAATGCTGGCCCATGTGACATGGAACTCACAGGGCCCAGATCCTTAGGCATCAAGCAGCGGAAGGGAATAAAAGATTTCTAAAGACAGGATGCTGGATTGGATCTATTTTGTGCCTCCTCACCCCAAATAACTCACTGGCTTCCATTGAACCCAGCACAATTTTTACCCTTGTTTTGAAGAAAGCTGAGATCAAGAGTGCTGGCTAGAAGAGCTGTAATTTGAAATGAGTTCCCTGAGATCAGAGGAGAGGAAGAAAACACAGATGCAGGAGGTTGGGCGCTAGTACTTCATCCTCAGAAGTGGATAGGGTCATGGCATTTAGCAGGCTGTGAATGAGTCAAGAGCTCATGGTGTAGAGTGGCTCTAAAAGATTAAATCAGATGCAACCCACTGGAGTCTTCCTTGTTTGCATAAGCAATAAAACTTAAGAAAAAACAAAATGAAGAAAACAAACCCTGAAACACTCTAGCTCTAGCAAAAATTCCTGACTTGAGCCACTGTGAGAGTTAGGAATCATCATTTGACACACAGGCTTGAGTTCACTGATCTGAAGGCCTTTGCTTGAAGGATATTCTACTTGCCCTTGAGGAGGAATCCGATAGCACTGAAGGGATGTTACAAATGCCAGTTGCAGTCTTGTGACCATAATGGGAATGGGCTATGATGCCAAAGACAGACTAGAGTGACACAGGCACAAGCCCAGGAAGACCAAGGAATGCCAAGAGGCAGAGAGGCCTGAGATTATTCCCTACAGCTCTTAGAGGGACTATGGCCCTGCTGACATCTTCATTTTGGATTTCTGACCTCCAGAATTATAAGAATAAATTTCTGATATTTTAAGCCACGTTTTTTTTGTTTGTTTGTTTGTTTGTTTGTTTTGGTTTGGTTTTTTCAGAACCAGGGATTGAACCCAGGCCCTGTGCTTGTCAGGGAAGCACTTATTCCACTGAGCCATCTCCCCAGCCCCTAAGCCACGTATTCTGTGGCAATTTGTTATGGCAGCCACTAGAAAAGAATATACCTTCCAGTAAAGTCATTTTTTGCTTAAAGTTTCTGTTGCTTGCAATCAAAAACCATTGATTGTAACAGTTATTCATCATGTTCATCGGGCCAGGGAAATGGCTCAGTGGAATAAGTGCTTCCCTGGCAAGCACAAGGGTCTGAGTTCAATCCCTGGTTCCACCAAAAAAAACTAAAAATGTCATCATGTTCATCATTTAATCTAAATAAATACTATTTTTTTCATACTAGGAGTTGAACCCAGGGCCTTCACACTGAGCTACATCCCCAGCTCTTTTATACCTTTTTGAGACAGGGGTTTACTAAGACAGTACATTGCCCAGACAAGCCTCAAACTTGAAATCCTCCTGCCTGAATGACCTTTTTGGGCCAAGATTTTTCCAACTAGATTCCTGTCACTTGCAACCTGTCCTGACTGGCATTATCATAGATAGAGCCTGTGCCAAATTTAAGGCCCGAACAAGACACCATGGATTCCACATTACTCCTTATATATCACCCATCCATCCCAATCAGAGAACACATCAGAAAACCAGCTGCATGAAGGTCTTGAGGTACAGCTCTTTATTTGCATAATGCTTTCACTGATATGTCAGAGTGGGGGTGACCTATTGCATTTCTTTCAGGATGATGCACAACCTGTGGTCGACTCAGTCCAGAGCTTTGTCCTGAGGTGTCACCACATCAACTATTTGTGAGGTCATAAAGTCTGGAAATCATCTGGATTCTTCATGTGTTAGGTAACACTATAGGAGTGATGCATGCACACATGGATTGTTGGCCCTGAAGCTGGGCCCAGATAGTAAGAAGTGAATGTGTTAAGTTCCTAAGAGTCCCTCTGGCTTAGTTCCTGCTGCAGCTCCAATCTGGAGTGTTGGAATCTGCAGGCATGTTGGGGGCCGACTACACAGTAGAAGTAATGGCAAACCTATGGCATGCACGTTGCAGTAGGCTGTTTATTATCACTGAAAGCTCTAAAAGGTTTGCCATCAACTGTAGTAGGTCCTGTGAAACATAAGACTTTCACTTGTATTTCTGCTAATGCTTGGAATACTCATCCCGGGACCCCCTTTGTCTATTTAGCTGTTTGTCTTTATGATGTCACTTTCTCAGGAAAATGGTCTCTGATTATCTCAGGGAAGGGACCCTGGTATATTCTATATGCATATAGTTAGCCCTCTGTGCTTAGTAGAGCTCACTATTCTATGTACCTGTGATTCTTTTTTTTGGTGGTACCAGGGATCGAACTCACGACATTGCACTTGCCAGGCAGGTGCTTATGCCACTGAGCTATCTCCTTGGCCCCCCTATACCTGTGATTCTTGTATTAGTGCCTGTCTTCCCCACTAGTCTGAGAAACTTAATGAATATAAGGATATATATTTTGTCCACTGTATTTTTTGAAGCTAGCAAGCTGTCAGTAAATCAGAGGCTCAGTGGGTAAAATCAATCTGTGATACTGGTCGTAACCCAGTAGCTGCAGCATGTGTGATGTGTGTGTATGGGATCAGGGAGGGGTGGTATGGTGAACTGGAGACTGTATGCCTCAGCCCCAGTTTAGAAGTCTTAAAATGACTGTTCAGCTGAACAAAAGCATGTCAGCCAGCCACATGTGAAGTCCATGCTTATGACTTCCAAGAGAGATTTCTTGAATGATTAAGTGAAGAATGTATAAGAGAGCCACTGTAAAGGCTCAAAAACCAAGCTTTTAGGGCCAGGAGAGGCAGAGGGCTTTTTCAGATTCTCTCTGGGCATTTCTTCTTCCCCTTCAGTGCTTGGCACACAGTGGACTACAGGAATCAGTTAATCTACTCAAAATGTACTAAATGCCTACTGGGCTCCAAGCATGCATGAGGATCATGCTTGGTCACGAATGCTCTAATCATGCTATGTGAAAAGGGCCCTGGGGACCCTTCCTGACTTTTTCAGCACACGGGCAGAAACTTTAGTACGGGAGTACTACAGATTTACTAGCAGCAAGGGTGGCATGACTGAAGCTAGCCAACAGGGATCGGAGTCTCCAGCATTTGCCTGGATGGCTGCTCAGGGTAGGGCTAGTGTCTCTGTGGTGGTATAAGGGAACTGCCAGAAGGGGGCACATACATGGCGGCCCCTGCCCCTAGCATTTCAGAGCTGCGCTGTCTTTAAGTCAGTGCCTCCTCTGCCCCATTTAGCTTTTTCATTTCCCTCTGGAGCATAGATTGTGACCATTTGGTAGGTGGGCTGAGGTCTGGAAAGGGGTTAGTGGTTAGCTGCTTCACACAAGCCAATCCAGAACTGAGTCTGGACCTCAGGCCAAGGCCTTTCAGATTTTCAGTGTCTCGACTGGGCCTTAGATGAAGGTGCAAAAGATCATTTCTCAAGAAATTCTGCATGTGAACTAAAGAGGCAGCTTCCTTTTCCATCCTCCCAGGACTCATCTTTGACTCCTTCCAGAAGCTCCCAGAAAAGAACTAGAGCTGAGGTCCCGAGCTCCTATGTTCGAATCCTTTCTGCTCCTCTTCCTAACTCTGACAGAGGTCTCACTCCATCATTCAGGTTTGTGGATTCACTCACTGCTAAAACCACACGCAAACTTGGTGAAGGTAAGAGAGAGAAATAGTGGATGGAATGTGTCTTGGCAAACCACAACCATGCATTCCAGACCAGATTCTACAGTCTTGTCCGGAGACTCTTATATGACTCATTGTTTCAGAGCTTCAGTTTCCACTTCTGTGAATTGGCGATATTTTTTTTTCTTGTGGTACTAGGGGTATATATCTTAGGCAAGCACTCTGCCATTCAGTGCATCCGCAGTGCTTTTCACAAATTTTATTTTAAGACAGGCATTCATTAAGTTTTCTAGGGGAGATGGCTCAGTGGAATAAGCACTTCCCTGGCAAGTGGTAGGGCCTGAGTTCAATCCCCGGTTCCGCAAAAAATTAAAAAAGCAAGTTCCTTTAAAAAAAAAAAAAGTTTTCTAGGCTTGCTTTGAACTTGTAGCCCTACTTCAGCTCTCAAATACTCGGATGACAGTTGTGTACCACTATGCCCGGCTTGAGACTGTCATCTTCCAACACCTGGCCAAATATGGGGAATAAACAGAAAATGCTCAGAATCATTAGCATCCTTCTTCTTTCCACCTCTGCTTTACTAGTAGCTTGGAGGCTGGCTGGTAAAAGTGTCCAAGTTGTTCCGTGGACTCATAGAGCACAGGGCAGCAATCTCTGCTCTGGGCATTTGGAGGAAAGTGTGGGTGGCTGCTGGGCCTCACTTCTCAGGCCAGTAGGAGTGGTCCCAAGAGGCTCACTCCCACCAGAGCTTAAGCAGGGGGAAGCATTTGCTGTGATTCAGCTGACTTGGGGTGGAAGAGAATGCAGAGACCTTAATTTTTAATAACTCTGAGTATTTGGAGGCTCACTCTGGGCCTGGGTCTCCAGGTCTACAGACCGTCCCTCCTGAGAGGTGTCTCGGGATGTCTCCAGAGATGCCTCTGACACTCCGTCCACGCTGCTCAGCAAGTCCTCAAACTCTCGGTGGCCACTGTTGCGCACAGCCGCCTCCAGAGCCTTCTGGCGCCGGTAGAAATGGGAGAACTTGTTGAAGATGATGGTGATGGGGAGTGCCACCACCAGAATGCCCCCTAGGATGCAGCCAGAGGCTGCCAGCTTGCCAGCCACTGTCTCTGGCACCACATCCCCGTAGCCCACAGTGGTCATGCTCACAGTGCCCCACCACCAGCAGGCTGGGATGGTGTGAAAACCTATGTTCTGCTCTTCGGCTGTGTAAGCCACACCGGAGAACACCGACACACCCACGGCCAGGTACAGCAGCAAGATGCCCACCTCACGGTAGCTGTGCTGGAAGAAAAGGAAGGAACCCAAGTCACACGTAGGTGGGCTTACAGAACTGGCAGTAGGCATATGGGGGAAATCACTTCGGGCCACAGAGTATAATAGCTCGGTCCAAAGTCACACAGAAAGGTAGAGCTGATACCAAGACCTGGGTGCCCTCGCTCCAAACTAAGATCTCCCAACTACAGCAGGTAACAAAACTTCCTGGGATCACAGGCCTAATTTCTGCTGTCCAACATGCCTGCCAGGTCACATCTGTTTCCTCTAACTCAGGGATCCTGGTAACATCAGCCAATGACAGAAAAGCCTGTGATTTTTATACTGCTACAGAATCACAAGAACCATCATTCACATTTCATAATTCAAAGACTTGGTTTCAGGTACTCTATGATAGATCTGTCATTATTTCTGACAAAACAAATACACTTTATGCCCTTCAAGGAAATTGAGAGGATTTAACCTCCCTAGACACATTGTTTGGGGGGGGCGGGTATACACTGCTTTGCCCCTGAGGCCAAGCTCCAGGGAAGTAGTTCTCAAATAGGGAAGTTTTGCTATCCCAGGGACATTTGATAATGTCCATAGACTTTTTAGGTTGTCATAACTGGTATAATGTGCTACTGGTATCTAGTAGGTAGATGCTGGGGACATGCTGTTAATACCCTGCAATGCAAAAGATAGGCCCCACAATACAGAATGATCTGGCCCCAAATGTCTCTAGTGCTAGGCTGAGAACCTTTAGTCTCTCTAACTATAATATGTGGAGGAATTACATAGGGATCTTGCTTAAAAGGCAGAACCCAACCAAGTGGGTCTGGGGTAGGGCCAAAGATCCTGGCTTTCTGGCAGCTTCCAGGTGTTGAGAAAGCCTTTGGTGGTCTGGGCTTCACTTGGAGTGGCAAAGGTTTTAGGATCAACACGATGTTAGTATGTTGATCCTAACAGTTCCGATCTTTACTCTTCTTCCTCCCTGCACACAAGGGTAGTACGGCAGCCTCAAGCCCTGATTCTTTGCACAGTGGAGGCAAGGCAGGATTCTGGGGCAGAGGGATCTTCCTTAGAGAGCTGATGAACTCAGGGGATCTGACGAACAGAATTCTCTGTATCTGCTGCACAGATCATCTGCTGGCATGCAGTATCTTGGCTACTTGCCATAAGGGCACACAACATGCTTTACTAAAGGCACCTTCTGGGGACCCTTTGTAGGGCCGCATGGAGCTTTGTGGGAAAGACTACAGTTTCCTGAAAGCCTCTGACAAGTCCTGCCACTTCTGGAACCTTAGTCCCTACACCTTAATGACAGTACTTGCCTCTCCTTAAACATCACTAGATCCCTGATGTTTTGGGGATAAAGTGAAACACTGTGAGCCAGAGTTCATGCGCTTCAGCACCTGACCCACTCGCATGTTCAACCTCATTTCTTGGTGTCTCCTCTCTGTGCCCTTGTGCCAGCACTCAGCCTAGTCTCCTACCAGGCCTGGGTACAAGCTCTTCACCTTGCCTCCCTCTCCAAACCACTGTAATTTCATCCCTGGTGCAGGGCCTGGCACAAAGATGATGCTCAATAAATTGCAACTAAGTTTTAAAAACCCAGCCCTCCCACCTCAGGATGTTCATTTACGGGAAGAAAATAAATAATGGCACCTTCTTGAGGATGTTGTCTTATAGACTGAATCGATAATGGATGTAAACTGGCACAGAATTCTCTGCTCAGAGTTAGCTTCAGGGCTATTCCTAGACTGAGCCTATGAATGGTGACCCGTGGCCATCTTTGCCCGCTGATAAAGCCAAAAGAAAGGCTTTAGCAGTGGGGCAAGTAAGCATCCTGTTTTGTATATCTTTCTTTGTATATTTTTGTAAAGCTATTATTTGATGTTTGACAGGTATATCAAAAGTGCTTAAAAAGGAGCCGGGGAGATGGCTCAGTGGAATAAGTGCTTCCCTGGCAAGTGCAAGGGTCTGAGTTCAATCCCTGGATCTGAAAAAAAAAAAAAAAAAAAAAGACAAGTGAAGTTACACCTCAGTTTTCTCCTTGGGAAATACACTGGATGTAATATATACATCTGGTCTCCAGCGCTGTGTGGACCCAAAGATGGCATTCAGTTTATTGGCTGTAGCAGGCTTACAAACCCACTTCACTATGGGGCCGGGGAGATGGCTCAGTAGGATAAGCGCTTGACTGGCAAACACAAGGACCCCGGTTCTGCCAAAAAAAAAAAAAAAAACAAAGAAAGAAAGAAAATGCAAACCCACTTCCCAACTTCCCCGGGGGCCTATACCCGCCTCTGCCCACCCAACCCGACCTCAGACTCCCTACCTTGAGCGTGGCACCCAGGGAACGCAGTCCGGTGGAGTGGCGCGCCAACTTGAGCACGCGGAAGATTCGCATGAGGCGGAACACCTGCACCACCTTGCCCAGGTCGCCGAGCTCCTCACCACTCCCGCTGTCCTGGTCACCCAGCGCCACACCGGCCAACAACGTGAGATAGAAGGGCAACACGGACACAATGTCGATGAGGTTGAGCGGGTGGCAGAAGAAGTTGCGCGTGCTGGGTGCCAGCAAGAGGCGCGACGACACCTCGAAGCTGAACCAGGCAATGCAGAAGTACTCGAGGCGTCGCAGCACTGGGTCGTCCCGCGCGTCATCCGCGCTGCGGCCCGCGGCCACCGCAGCTACAGCGGCCGCCGCCTCACGGGCCTGGTACTCGGGCAGGCTGTGGATGCACATGGCGGCGATGGAGGCGAGCACCACGCCGATGGAGACGCAGCTGAAAAGCTTGCTGGGCAGCGAGTAGCCGGGGTTCTCCATGGTGAGCCACAGGCGGCGGCGCAGGCGGCCGCAGCGCGCAGCCCCGTAGCGCGCCAGTTCTCGCTGCACGTCCGAGATTTCGTCGGGGCACGGGTCCACGCTGCTCGGCGTGTCGCTGTCCTCGTCCCAGGCGCGCGGCCTTGCCACGCGCCGCTCCAGGTAGCGCGCGCGGCAGCACGTGGCCAGCGCGTTCTCGCCCAGGCCCCAGTATTCGACCTCCTGGCAGAAGGCAAAGACGCATAGCTCGTCGAGGACGTGCAGGCGGCCGGTGCGGTAAAAATGCAGCAGGCCCAGGAAGAAGCCCGGGTGCCGGTCGAAGTAGAACTCACGCGCCGCCGCGTCGTAGTCGTCGCACAAGCGTCGCGCCTGCTCCTCCGACGCCGCGGCCCGCAGACGGCCCAGCCGCGTCCCGGGGAAGCGAGCCAGGGCGCGCGCGCTCAGCAGCCGCCGCACGCCGCCCACGTTCACGCGCAGCGCCTCGTCCCTTCTCCGCCAGGGGAGCCCAGCGCTCGGCCCCGAGGTCTCGCTCACCATGTCTACAGTGGGTCGCCCTGCAGACACCGGAGGGGGCGGTGATGGAGATGGGCTCCCGGCTGCCCTCCAGGAGGACCAGGTTAAAATCCGAGGCCCCATCCACCAGTCAGGATTTCTGGGGGCCCTGTGTGAAGTGCCTGCTGTGGAGTGGGCGCCCAGTAGCTGGCAGGCACCCTCTGAACTCAATCAGGCCTGGGTTTGAACATTGCCCGACCTTAACTGGGGGACTTGGATGGAATCACAGATCCTCCCCATTTCCATTTGATTTTCTCCAGTGGAAAACAAATGGGAAACTCTACCTGGAGAGATTGTGAAAGCGAGAGAGGGTCAGGATGGCTTGGGATCCGCAGGATGCTCATGTAGGGTGCTCCACCTATTCATGGACAAACATGGGTTTCGGTACATCAAATGTCTACTGTGGGATTCTGGACATGCCTGCACGCTGAACCTCAGTTTTCTTCAAATGCGGGTTGAAACGCTTGCCACCTAGGATTTTAAGAAAATCGGTTGAGACCAGTGATTCTCAAAGTGTGTTCCCTGGACAACAGCATCTGTATCACCTGTAAATTTGTCAAAGACGCAGATTCACAGTCCACCCTAGATTTGCTGAATCAGAAACTCCAGCCTGGGGTCAATGATCTTTTAAGAAGGCATGTTGTCAAATTTGAGAGTGAGGGAGTTTCAACTGTGTAAGACAGAACCTTGGCCCTCTTGTGTGGCCTTGGGCAAATCCCATCACCTCTCTAAACCTCTGTCAAATAGAAATTTAAAAAATCTCCATAGAAGCATTATTAAAATGATTACGTTACTTAATGCCTTTGGGGGACCTGATTTACAGAAGGAGTTCATTAAATTATCCACATATGCTGCTGTCTTCTCAAGTTTGCTAAACCTAGGTTGCACCTCACTCTTCATTCACCTGGGGCCTTGAGTGAGATATCTCTCAGTCGTCTACACACTGCAAACATTAGGAATATCTCCTACCCCCAAAGATAGCTGGAAGTTTAAAGTAGATTATGGAAAGTGCTTTGTTTTAGTGGATACTCAGGAAATATGGGGTCCTTTGACTGAGTAGGAACTGAGAGCTGGCAACTCAACTCCTGACCTAGATACATGCACACGGCTGGTGGCGGTAGAAATGTGGCAGGCCCAGGAAAAAGCTTGGTGTTGGTTTAGTAGTGCCTGCTTCCATGTGTGGACTGGGATTGAGTGTGGGTCAACCCAGAGCCCAAGTGCCCTTCTCTAAACCTAAGCTTTCAAAAAAAAAAAAAA